AAGTACTGCATTATACAAATTTCATAATACATACACTTTAATACCATGCGACACATGGATCGATTACTGCATTATACAAATTTCATAATACATACACTTTAATACCATGCGACACATGGATCAATTACTATATTATACAAATTTCATAATACATACACTTCAATGCCACGCGACACATGGATCAAGTACTGCATTATACAAATTTCATAATACATACACTTTAATACCATGCGACACATGGATCAATTACTGCATTATACAAATTTCATAATACATACACTTCAATGCCACGCGACACATGGATCAAGTTAAAGTGTATGTATTATGAAATTTGTATAATGCAGTCAATACCATGCAACACATGGATCAAGTACTATATTATAGAAATTTCATAATACATACACTTCAATGCCACGCGACACATGGATCAAGTACTGCATTATACAAATTTCATAATACATACACTTTAATACCACGTGACACATGGATCAATTACTGTATTATATAAATTTCATAATACATACACTTTAATACCATGCGACACATGGATCAATTACTATATTATACAAATTTCATAATACATACACTTTAATACCATGCGACACATGGATCAATTACTATATTATACAAATTTCATAATACATACACTTCAATGCCACGCGACACATGGATCAAGTACTGCATTATACAAATTTCATAATACATACACATTAATACCACGTAACACATAGATCAAGTACTGCATTATACAAATTTCATAATACATACACTTTAACGCCATGCGACACATGGATCAATTACTGCATTATACAGTGACAGTATACCTTTCTTATTACAAACTATATGAATATCAAAATGGTTCACTGCAACCAACACAGACATAAACCTTACACTTGCTTGATAAGTTGCAGAAACTTGATGACTGTCAACAGAAACTACATATTGAAACACTGGATAAGCAACTTGCTCTATAAACATTTTGTTTATTCCTGATTCTGCAGGTTTCACCTCTGATTATGTTTCATTATAGTCTTTCAGGTTATTTATTGGAATATTTATTGTGTGTTCTTACTTGTATGATGGCAAATATGATATAAGCCTTATATTACCTTACACTATCCAGATTTAATATTATGTAACATTGTATTGATGCTGTAAATTTTTACTTCAATTTAACATGTCGCAAAGACTAGCTGGTTCGTCGTAGGTGTACTTTGAACAACAGTAGATGTGTAGGCATGAAAATGAGTAGATAAGTTTTAACACAAAACTTCAAGAGGTTCAAAAAACATATACAGAATTGCAAATGAAAATAACAACTTACAACATTAGTTGAACACTCATATTTCTAACACAGTTTTAAGTATTTTCCTACTTTTCTATCATCTTGTTAAACATGCATCAGCATGAGAAACTCTATCTTGGATCAAATCGAAGCTTAAATCTTTCCTTTGGTATCTTCTAAGTTATCCAAAAATAAATCAGTGAAATATCTTTATAAAATCAAGGATAATCTAGTATAACATTTGTCATTATTGAAATTGGGATTAAGGCCAAGAAATATTGCTAACAGTAAGGGTATCTCACTGATAATGCAATGCATTCTGATTTCTATAAGTAAAAGTAGTATATTTAATTAGTTCTGGTCTATGAATTAGATCGATTTGATCAGAAGACAATATTAATGAATAATACATGAGATAATAAACTCAACTGTAACACTGGATCTTGTGGTTCACCTACAAAATTGTGCTTCTGGTGGCCAGCACATGGTTCTGTAACTACATCTTTTAGGCAAGTAGTATCGAAAGTAATATTAATATTGAGGAAATATTTCTGTACTTCAATAATAACTGATCAAGTTTAACTTTTGTAGCAAAAAGTAACAATTAAAGTGTTACATTTTTCTGTGAATGTGTGCTAAATCTTCTGATATAACTTGTATTCACATATATATACAGATGTATGGTTGACATCTACTTTAACAGACTGGCCAAGTCCAGTAGATAAAGCATTTTTTTTGTTGAATTTTCTGATATAGGAATATCACAAAATAACAATTAAAGGTTTTCAGATAGCCCTTGAATTTTCTGTATGTACGGATTTAGACTTATCTTTTAAAACAAAACAAAAAATTAAGTACCGAAAGCAAAACTAAATGTACAATTAAACATTAATCTTTTATTTCCATTACCTAGGTTTCAACAACAAAGGAGACATTTCAGGATTTGTCTCTACCCATTCCAGGTCGTGACCACATTTACATGCTACATTCCTCCCTCAGTAACCAACAGAAAGGTGTTGTTGCATGTACAGATGCATACAACAGTAAAGGCTGGTTCAACTGGTTGTTTGGGTGGGTGCTTAGGTAACTAGAGCAATTTTTCTAAGTATAAAAAGCATATTTATGATAAGAACAATGCTGAAAATGTATATCACCTACAGCTTAATTTGGGTTAATTTCTTATAAAAGTGTCAGCTGAGAACTGTATCAAATTGATAATATTCACATTTTAACAAATAATCAGGTTTAATGAACAAGTTTCAATAGAATTTGCTAGGCGTCCTTTAAATGTCTTTCAAGAAGATATGTATCACAGTTTATTATTCTTTTTTTATATATACTTCAAATGATACCAGCAGCTAGTCATTAAAAAGTTACTTCTGTTGTGCATCAGGAGCTGTTTTGTTACACGCACAAACATAGATAGATGTATATCACATCTAATATTTTGTTGTGACTCTTACCCGACCCCTGACCAAGGAGATTGACAGGGTGGGGTATATAGAGACAATATTTGTCTTTAAACGTATACTTTCTAAACAGTAATTATAGTTCTGAACAGCAGTTTTTAATTAAACTTCACAGGTCACTTCCTTGGAGATGGGAAAGATAGTATTTTGATTTTGTTATTAAATGTTACTATTTCAAGAAATAAAAATTAAATTTATGCTTTTTTATATAAAGTTCTGAAAGAAAGAGTTTAATAACGCTTCACAAGTCACTTCTCTT